AACTCTCATATAAAATTTTAATTGAACACAAATACAATTGCAATAAAATTTAAAATAGTAGAAACTCTCAATTAAAGTTTTAATTAGTAAAAACTCTCATAAAAGATTTTAATTAGACACAAATACAAGTTAAATATTAAAAATAATTCACAGACTTTTAATAACTCTAAAATTTTCCAAAACCTTAAAGTGCTCTATAAACTTAATTTTTATAGAGATGGAAATTTTATGAGAACACACACGACTAAAAAAGAACACACACAACTAAAAATATGGGCGAATTTGGTGTGCATCTTCACCCAAAGCACTAGGTGGAAACTTACGCGGGCTTAGCCTAACAGGCAGTCAATTGGAGGAATTGATTCCGAACTTCTTCCGTGAGCATTGACGCAAGAGGAATAGGCTTCCTCGCCTTCAACAGTTGATGTTAAGTGGATATTCTCTACCAAAATATTGGTGCAAGCGAGTGTTTCGCTGCAGCTTAATTTGATCACGTCTGTTTTGTTCGATGTCCCCTGAATGTCTCTGAACGTAACATCACTTATTTGAACCGCAGCGGTCTTCAACATTCAAATCAAATAAAATCAATTAAGTATTTAAAATTAATATTTTTAAATGATAGTATATATCAGTTTAATTTTTTTAAAAAAAATTAAAGTCTTAACCTTGAATAACAATATCTCATTTAATTAAAATTGAATTTAAAATTCAAAAATTTACATTATTAAATATTGATTCTTATATTTGAAAACTTAAAATTCAATTTCAAATTCAAAAAATCATTTTATTAAATATTGATGAATAAAAATTTCTAAATTTTAAATTCAATTTTAATTAAATGAAATAATTGAGACTCTTATTTTTTTAAACCAAAATTAATACACTTTTTTCAAATTTTAATAATAAGAAACTAAATTGTAAATTAGAACCTTTCAAAATTAAGTTTCAATTAACAGTAGATATTTTTACCTGATTTTCACAAGTTTTTTCGCCCTTGCAATCACAATAATACTGATCGATAATGATGGGATTGCCTGAATCGAATAGTTGGATTTTCTCAAATGAGATCTTTCTGGCATATCCACTCCCTCCCTATGAAACAATTAACT